GGGGGGGGGCCTAACACAAGCCGGGTGGCCCGGAGTCCCGAGCCAGGGACCCAGGGTTGCCGGCAGAATTCATACGTCCATAGAATCCTAGAATCGCAGAGTTGGAAGGGGTCCTAGAGGCCATCTAGTCCAGCCCCCTGCTCAAGGCAGGATCAGCCACCCTAGAGTATCCCAGACAAATGTTTGTCCTGCCGCTGCTTCGAGACTGCCATTGGGGGGGGGAGCTCACCCACCGCCCCAGGCGGCTGGTTTTTGGATTTATACCCCGCCCTTCACTACCCAAAGGAGTATCAGAGCGGCTTACAAACTCCTTTCCCTTCCCCTCCCCACGACAGGCACCCTGTGAGGTGGGTGGGGCTGAGAGAGCTGTTTCGGGAACTGTCCTTGAGAGAACAGCTCTGAGAAAACTTGTGGCTGACCCAAGGTCACACCAGCAGCTGCACTTAACTCACACATATGCTTTTTATAAAGGGAACAGGACTCTAGTCTAGTATCCTAGAATCAAACAGAGTTGGAAGGGGCCCTAGAGGCCATCTAGCCCAACCCCCTGCTCAATGCAGGATTGGCCTAGAGCATCCCTGACAAGGGTTTGTCCAGCGGCTGCTTGAAGACGGCCAGGGAGGGGGAGCTCACCCACCTCCCCAGGCAGCTGATTATTGGATTCATACCCCGGCCTTCACTACCCAAAGAAGTCTCAGAGCGGCTTACACACTCCTTTCCCCCACAACAGACACCCTGTGAGGTAGGTGGGGCTGAGAGAGCTCTTTCCAGACCCACCCTTGAGAGAACAGCTTTGAGAGAACTTGTGACTGACCCAAGGTCACACCAGCAGCTGCATGTGGATTTATACCCTGCCCTTCACTACCCAAAGGAGTCTCAGAGCGGCTTACAATCTCCTCTCCCGTCCCCTCCCCACAACGGACACCCTGTGAGGTAGGTGGGGCTGAGAGAGCACTTTCCAGAACTGCCCTTGAGAGAACAACTCTGAGAGAACTTGTGACTGACCCAAGGTCACACCAGCAGCTGCATGTGGATTTATACCCTGCCCTTCACTACCCAAAGGAGTCGCAGAGCGGCTTACAATCTCCTCTCTCGTCCCCATCCCACAACGGACACCCTGTGAGGTAGGTGGGGCTGAGAGAGCTCTTTCCAGAACTGCCCTTGAGAGGACAGCTCTGAGAGAACTTGTGACTGACCCAAGGTCACATCAGCAGCTGCATGTGGATTTATACCCTGCCCTTCACTACTCAAAGGAGTCTCAGAGTAGCTTACAATCTCCTCTCCCGTCCCCTCCCCACAACGGACACCCTGTGAGGTAGGTGGGGCTGAGAGAGCTCTTTCCAGAACAGCCCTTGAGAGAACAACTCTGAGAGAAACGTGTGACTGACCCAAGGTCACACCAGCAGCTGCATGTGGAGGAGAAGTGGGGAATCAAACCCGGTTCTCCCAGATTAGAGTCCGCGCTCCGAACCACTACACCAAACTGGCTCTCTCACGTGTTGAAGAGCTACCTGATTCAAATAGACTTTAGGGTCCTTATCGGAAGCCAGGGAGGTGGAGTGGTTAGACGATATGACTAGGACCCTCTGTGAGAGCTCTTCTATGTAACCTGTAAAGGCTCTTCCTGCAGTGTTCTGAGGTGACATGTTCTACGCTGCCTCCTTGCCTTCCTTATTTTTCTCTGCCACCAAAGGCAGGGTATAAATCCACATGCTGCTGCTGGTGTGACCTTGGGTCAGTCACAAGTTCTTTCAGAGATGTTCTCTCAAGGGCAGTTTCTGTCAAGAGCTCTCTCAGCCCCACCTACCTCACAGGGTGTCTGTTGAGGGGAGGGGAAGGGAGGAGATTGTAAACCGCTCTGAGACTCCTTTGGGTAGTGAAGGGCAGGGTATAAACGCACATGCAGCTGCTGGTGTGACCTTGGGTCAGTCACAAGTTCAGAGCTGTTCTCTCCAGACCAGGCCTTCGACTTCTTAGTTGGACCCAAAGAACAGGATGGCTTGGTTATCTTTGGTAGATCAAGACGGGTAGCCCTGTGAGTCTGTCTGCAGCAGTAGAGAAGAGCAAGAGTCTAGCAGCATCTTAAAAACTAACAAAAATCTGTGGCAGGGGAGGAGCTTTTGCGAGTCACTGCACACTTCTTCAGATACAGCCAGAATGTGAGACCCTCTGTCCTTCTATCTTGGAGAGTGGAGTGGTGACAGATGTCGAATGACAGATGCCGAATAGCAGGTGAATAACAATAGCAGCCATGATTTGCAGACTGCCGAATCGCGGCTGAGAATGACGCTCAGGACAATGCATCCACCGGGACTGAATCGAGACCTAGGTTTCCTGTCTTGTTACCAAGGCTGATTTTTCCATGCCTACGACCTCTCTGCATATTACACTGAATCAAATCATATTCCTGGGATTGGCCCTGAATCAACCACTGAGCGCATTTGCCGTCTCCAAATGGAGATGCTGCTGAGGTCTTCCCAAACTAAATAAGTTCCGAACGAACTCTCCTGCCAGGTCTTTCATCTCCTTTTAAGGGCTTTGATGATCTCAGATGCTTTGAGAGATTCTGGTATGGATTTATCTTTAATGGGGTTCTCTCCTCATGAAAGGTTCTCTCTAACATGACAGCGTTGGCGTAGTTTTATAGATTTGGCGTTTTTTACAGCCTATGTAAAAAAGTTCTATGGTTTTAGTCACTGCAATTTTCTGCTTTCATTTCCCACCACTTTGAGTAACTTTAAACACAAAAGTGTTCTAAATTAATGGACTACATCAGGGGTGTCAAACATGTGGCCCGGGGGGCCGGATCAGGCCCACAGTGGAACTGGCCATCTCCTGCTTCCAGTTCTGCTGCTGCATCGTAGCTTGCTTCGTCAGACTCTCTCAATCACTCAGCTTTTTCATGTTTTAACCTGGGCCCTAGACTCAGGACTCTTGAGCATGAGGTTTCTGTGGTTTGCAGCTTACAGAGCTAATGTTTTAAGCATGTCTTTATTATTAAAGTTAAAAAAAACCCACCCTTTGTGTTTGTGTCCTTTATAAAGTTTATATCTCTGCTACTGGGCATTACATTTTATGATGCACGTGGTCTGGCCCAACAAGGGCTCACGTATGTCAGATCTGGCCCTGATAAATGAGTTCGACACCTCTGGTCTACATAGTCTGTCCTAGAGATGGGAAGGCCCGGAAAAAACCTGGAAAAATTAGGAAAAAACCCGGTTTTCCCCCAGTTTTCCTCCGAAGCCTTTTTTGTTTTTGTCTGAAAAATTGGAAAAATTGAAAAAAAGAAAAGAAAAAAAATGATTATGAAACATTTTACTTTAACTTGATGAATAAAATATTTTAAGACAAGGTGTTCAAATATTTTCCAAATCATTTCTAAAAAAATACGTATGGTATCAGATTGATTGATCTAATTTCTGTGCACTGAGGGACAAGCAAGTCCTAGGTTACAAACTGAACTCTCCAATGCAAGCACAAGATGCATTTCTTCCTTTAGGAGGTGCTATTGTCACAAGAAAAGAAAAAGGTTTCAGTTTTGTTTTTGCATGTGGGTGGGTATTCTGTTTGTAATCATTGCTTGGATACACTATGTTTTTAATATGCTAGTTGTGATAATTTCGTGCCAAGAAAAAATGTCCATAGTCATGTTTTATGTTCCTAAAGTAACAGAATGACTTTCAATCTCGAAAAGAAAAAAGAAGTGCTCATGTAGCATTTTTTTTCAATTTTCCGAAAATTTCCGTTTCCCCCCCCCCCAAAAAAAAAACAGGAGGGGGGGGAACGGGTTTTTTTCTCCCCAACGGGAACCCAGTTTGGAGTACTGGTTAGGAGCGTGGAGTCTAATCTGGGAGAACCGGGTTTGATTCTCCACTCCTCCACTTGCACCTGCTGGATGACCTTGGGCAAGCCGTAGTTCTGTCAGAGCTGTTCTCTCAAGGACAGTTCTCAAAAGAGCTCTCTCAGCCCCGCCTACCTCGCAGGGTGTCTGCTGTGGGGAGGGGAAGGGGAAGGAGTTTGTGAGCCGCTCTGAGACTCCGAGTGAAGGGTGGGGCATAAATCTTCTTCTTCTCCCATTCATCCTCCCACAACAACCCTGTGAGGTAAGTTAGGCTGAGAAGGTGTGACTGGCCCAATGCCACCCAGCACGCTTCCATGGTAGAGTGGGAATTCGAACCCGGGTTTCTGAGACCCGCCTTCAAATTTCTCACCCTCCAGAATCCATAATTCAAAGCCTGCTAAATTGTCCTTGTTTTTCCGGAGTGGAGAATTAAAAAGAGAGGAGAGAGGTTTTTTGGGGGGGGCTTTTAAGTCCTGAGGCAAGGACAGACCTCTGGGAAAGGTGGATGCAGGAACGGATGGACTTGGGTTTTCAGCCACTCCCCCCGAAATCTCCCTGAGGGAGCCAGAGACACACTCACATTTCAAATAGATGTCTGAGAAGGAGGAAGACAAAAGCAAACGGGAAGGTGATGTAGAGGTCCGAGGCCTTGGCATGGACCCGCCCATCTTCGATTTCGAGGTCGGCCCAGGTTAGGTTCGCCGGCAACCAGAGCCGGTCCCACCAGAAGTAGTTGTATAACGTCTGGAACATCCTGGAAAAGGCAAAACACAAGAGAGATGACCGTTTGGGTGGGACAGAGAGGAAAGCACAAAAACGAAAGCGATGGCGAAGCTAAACAGCATGATAAAAAGTAGAGACATCACCCTGCCCACAAACGTCCGCATGGTCCAAGCAATGGTATTCCCAGTAGTCATGTATGGCTGCGAGAGTTGGACTATAAGGAAGGCCGAGCGCCGAAGAATAGATTCTTTTGAACTATGGTGCTGGAGAAGACTCTTGAGAGTCCCTTGGACTGCAAGAAGATCAAATCAGTCAATCCTAAAAGAAATCAACCCTGGCTGTTCCCTGGAAGGCCAGATAATGAAACTGAAGCTCAGATACTTTGGCCACCCAATGAGAAGGGAGCACTCACTGGAGAAGCCGCCGATGCTGGGAAAGATTGAAGGTCAAAGAAGACGGGGACGGCACAGGATGAGATGGTTAGACAGTGTCATAGATGCAACAAACATGAAATTGAGCCAGCTTTAGAGGACGGCGGAGGAGAGGAGGGCCTGGCGTGATCTGGTCCATGGGGTCGCGAAGAGTCGGATTCGACTGTGCAACTGAACAACAAAAATTCCTCCCTGGAAGCCACCTGGACAGTGGTGCGCACATTTAGAAAAAAACAGTTGCTAAGACTCCTTATGAGGAACCCCAAAAGTCAACTAAACATCTGTATGAAGAAGGAGGAGGAGGAGATTGGATGTATACCCTGACCTTCACTCGGAGTCTCAGAGCGGCTTACAAACTCCTTCCCCTTCCCCTCTCCATAGCAGACACCCTGTGAGGTCGGTGGGGCTGAGAGAGCTCTGAGAGAACTGTGTCCTTGAGAGAACAGCTCGGACAGAACTATGGCTTGCCCAGGGTCATCCAGCAGGTGCAAGTGGAGGAGTGGGGAATCAAAACCCGGTTCTCCCAGATTAGAGTCCATGCACTTAACCACGACACCAAACTGGCTCTCTTTAGAAAAACAGTTGCTAAGACATCTTATCCGGGAACCCCAAAAGTCAACGAAACATCCGTACGTAACCAGCTATATAGGGTTCAGTCTGGAAAGAAGGAATAGGAGAAACTGAGGAGTGAAGATCAGACAAAGGGCTTTTCTACATGGCTTCCCCCCCCCCCCATCAGTTCTAGCCCCGTGGTGCTTTGGTTTAGCCCTGATTTCCGCATGCATTCTGGTGCCTTTAGTTTTCACTTTGGGTTTTTTTTCATTTTTGCTCCCCTGGTTCTTTGGAGACCACTTGTACCCCAATCTTTTCCTAGAGCCTGGGTCTGAGTTGCCTTTGTCCTCGGGTGGAACGCTCAACCTACATTCCAATTCCGAAAAAAAGGAGATGTCAAAAACTGCAGCAACTATCGAACCACTGCGCTGATTTCTCGCGCAGGTAAAGCGACACTCAAAACCTTGCAACAAAGACTGTTAGCATATGTGGAATGAGAAACAGCAAATGTTCAAGCTAGATTCAGAGGAGGAGGAAGAGGAAGAAGGAGAGGAGGAAGATTGGATTTATACCCCCACCCTTCACTACCCGAAGGAGTCTTGGAGTAGATTACGATCACTTCCCCTTCCCACAACAGACACCCTGTGAGGTAGGTGGGGTGGAGAGAGCCCTTTGAGGACTGCTCTTGAGAGAACAGCTCTGAGAGAACTTGTGACTGTTACCCAGCTGGCTTCATCTCCCCGGGGAAAACAGATAAAAGGAATACTTCTTCACCCGAAGAGTGATTAACACATGGAATTCACTGCCACAGGAGGTGATGGCGGCTACAAGCATGGACGGCTTCAAGAGAGGATTGGATAAGCATATGGAGCAGAGGTCCATCAGTGGCTATTAGCCACAAGGTATAGATAGGGACTCTCAGGCTGGGGCCAGGGATACTCTGTCTTCTTGGTGCTTGGGGGTGGGGGGCAACAGTGGGAGGTCTTCTAGTGTCCTGGCCCCACTGCTGGACCTCCTGATGGCACCTGGTATTTTTGGCCACTGCGTGACAGAGTGTTGGACTGGATGGGCCACTGGCCTGATCCAACACTAGCTTCTCTGTTATGTTCTTATGGGGCAAGGGATGCTCTGTATTCTTGGTGCTGGGGGGGGGCAGTGGGAGGGCTTCTGGAGTTCTGGCCCCACTGGGGGACCTCCTGATGCCCCCTGGTATTTTTGGCCACTGTGTGACACAGAGTGTTGGACTGGATGGGCCATTGGCCTGATCCAACATTGGATTCTCTTATGTTCTAATGTGGAGGAATGGGGAATCAAACCCAGTTCACCCAGATTAGAGTCCATGCTCCTAACCATTACACCAAACTGCTTCTCCAGTTTGGCACGAGAGATCATATTGCAAATGTATGTAGGTAGGAAACTAAAGTTGGGCAATGGTGAACGCCGCCGATCTTTCCCTCTTTCTGAAGAATTACTGCAAGACGAACTGACCCCCTCCGACAAATCCTGTTGGCGAGACGCAGAGGGAATTTTGGGAAATTTAGCTGAGTAATGGTATTCCCAGTAGTCATGTATGGCTGCGAGAGTTGGACTATAAGGAAGGCCGAGCGCCGAATAATAGATTCTTTTGAACTATGGTGCTGGAGAAGACTCTTGAGAGTCCCTTGGACTGCAAGATGATCAAATCAGTACATCCTAAAAGAAATCAACCCTGACTGTTCCCTGGAAGGCCAGATAATGAAACTGAAGCTCAAATACTTTGGCCACCCAATGAGAAGGGAGCACTCCCTGGAGAAGACCCTGATGCTGGGAAGGATTGAAGGTCAAAGAAGACGGGGACGGCAAAGGATGAGATGGTTAGACAGTGTAATAGATGCAACGAACATGAAATTGAGCCAACTTCAGAGGACGGCAGAAGACAGGAGGGCCTGGCGTGATCTGGTCCATGGGGTCGCGAAGAGTCGGACTCGACTGTGCGACTGAACAACAAAAAATAAAATGTATGTTTACCTGATGTTGCACCAGCAGCCTTGGCCTTATTTTTTACCCTCTAATGATGACAGCTGACAGAGGAAAGTCGACTCATTTGAAACGGGGCGCCGGAGGAGATTTTGACAGACACCGCGGACTGCCAAAAGAACAGATCAGTGGATCCTAGATTCAGTCAAGCCGGAATTCTCCCTAGGAACTAGAGTGACTAAACTGAGGCTATTGCCATCTCAGGTTGTGATCGAAGGACAAGACTCACTGGAAAAGGCTATAATACTAGAAGTCCAAGACAGCAAGAAAAGAGGAAGACCCAACAGGAGATGGATGGACTCCATCGACAAAGCCACAGGCCCTCCGTTTGCAAGACCTACGAACGGCTGATGACGATCGAACATTTCGGAGTACGCTTATTCATAGTCACCATGAGTTGGAAGGAGGAGGAGGAGATTGGATTTATACCCCACCCTTCACTACCCAAGGGAGTCTCAGAGCGGCTCACAAACGCCTTTCCCTTCCCCTCCCCACAACAGACACCCTGTGAGGTAGGCGGGGCTGAGAGAGCTCTTGACAGAAACTGCTCTTTTTCAAGAACAGCTCCGACAGAACTGTGGCTTGCCCAAGGTCATCCAGCCAGGTGCAAGTGGAGGAGTGGGGAATCAAACCCGGTTCTCCCAGATTAGAGTCCGCGCACTTAACCACTATGCCAAGAAGAGGAAGAAGAAGAAGAGAAGAGATTGGATTTATACCCCGCCCTTCACTACCCAAAGGAGTCTCAGAGCGGCTCACAAACGCCTTTCCCTTCCCCTCCCCACAACAGACACCCTGTGAGGTAGGCGGGGCTGAGAGAGCTCTTGACAGAAACTGCTCTTTTTCAAGGACAGCTCTTATCAGAACTACGGCTTGCCCAAGGTCATCCAGCAGGTGCAATTGGAGGAGTGGGGAATCAAACTAGGGTCTCCCAGATTAGAGTCCACACACTTCACCACGACACCAAACTGGGCAAGGGAGCAACAGGCCGCCTGTGTTTGTCTCAGACTTCAGCCTCTCCGCTGGAATCCTCAGAAACCCACCCGTGAATGTTGACAGAGCATCTCTCCTGCTCCCGGATTCATTGACACACACACGCAACTCTTTAGGAGCACCAATGGGCGAATATTTGGCATCCGTCTGTAGACCTCTGACCACCCTGTTTGAACACCCTGATAGCCCTCCGACCACCTGTTTGAACACCCTGATAGCAAGGACGGTCGTGTTTGACGGGCCCGTGAGGCAAAGAGGCCCCTGACCCTCTTTCTGGGACAGAAAACCTGGAACGGTTTTGTTTTCCTTCCCTCTTCACGATTCCTAGAAGTGAAAGAGGACAGAGGTGAGCGCTCGTACCCCCTCCCACCCCCACCCGTGGCCAGGGCAGACCTGCCAGCCCTATACTTCTGGGGTATCATCACCACGCAGGGCTAACCAGTGGCCACCAGCCCACTGGCTTCAGCGCCTGCAACCATCCGTCCAGAGAGCCAACGCTGCCACCAACCAATGTTCCCTCTAAGCCGTGGAGTCTTGTGAGCAAAAATTCTACTTTGAGAGCTCCTGGCACTAAAGTTGTGAGCGAGCGATTAGGCTACTGCATCAATTAGTTTGCTCTGGAGCCCTCCTTCCTGAGCTAAGGCAACAAGGTGTGAGCCGGAGGCCAAAAAAATGTGAGCTAGCTCACACTAACTCAGCTTAGAGGGAACCCTGCCATCAACCCGTTTCAAGTTGCAGCCCCCTTGTGACCGAAGCCGTTTTCAAAGAGGGGGGCAAAGGCAAAGAGCACAAGTGATATTAAAGTGGGTGGCGGAAGAGAGAAGAGAGCAGTCTCGTGGTTAGGTCTCGTGGCCCTTTCGGACACGCCCAGGGAAATGCCGATGGCCACTTTGGGGTCAGGAAGCCATTTTTCCCCAGGTCGGTTTGGCTGCAGATCCTGGAGTGTTTTTTGCCATCTTCCGGGCATGCAGCAGGGGCCACTGCGGGTGTGGAGGGAGAGCTATTTGTATATGTCCTGCATTGTGCAGGGGGCTGGACTAGA